CAACTTCGAAATGTGACTAAAGACATTTTCTTGTATGTTTCAACCTCCAAAAGTTACTTTCCGTCCCATTTCTCTAATAACCCTTACCATTTTTCCAAAATCTTCCCTCGAAATATCTATGATAGTTTTTTGATTTTTTTTTAATTTCATTTTAAACCGAATATTTCTAAAATCTTGGGACGGAACGATCAAGTCGCTATATTTTGGGAATCAAAACGTTTAAATCTACATCGCAGAATTTTTCTAAGGATTTTTGGACAACTTTTTCAAAACCCCAACGACCTTTTTGGAAAATTTAGAAATTTTTCGGATACATTCGTTACCTAACTAAAGACATTTGCTTGTGTCCTTTATACTTTTGACCCCCAGAAGTTACTTTCGGCTCCATTTCCTTGATAATTCCTATAATTTTTCCGAAATCCACCGCTGGAATATTGTAAAATTTTGGATTTTGAAAAAAATTGGTTTTCAAAGCAAATATTTCTAGAATCAGCACGTCGAAATCTACATTCTAGAATTTTTTGTTGATTTTTAGCCAACTTTTTCAAAACCTAGTTTTTCAGTAAGAACACATTTGAAAATTTCGGAATTTTTCGACCAGTTTAAAATTTAATTAAAGACATTTTCTTGTATGTTTCAACCTCCAAAAGTTACTTTCCGTTCCATTTCTCCAATAACTCTTACCATTTTTCCAAAATCTTCCCTCGAATATCTATGATAGTTTTTTTGATTTTTTTTTAATTTCATTTTATACCGAATGTTTCTAAAATCTTGGGACGGAACGATTAAATCCCTATATTTTGGAAATCAGAACGTCTAAATCACATCGCAGAATTTTTCTAAGGATTTTTAGACAACTTTTACAAAACCCCAACGACCTTTTTGGAAAATTTTGAAAATTTTCGGATACTTTCGTTACTTAACTAAAGACATTTGCTTGTGTACTTTATACTTTTGACCCCTAGAAGTTACTTTCGGCTGCATTTCTTTGATAATTCCTATAATTTTTCCGAAATCTACGGCTGGAATATTGCAAAATTTTGGATTTTGAAAAAAAATGGTTTTCAAAGCAAATAGTTCTAAATTCTTGCCCCAGAACACTACAAACGCTATATTTCTAGAATCAGCACGTCGAAATCTACATTATAGAATTTTTTGTTGATTTTTAGCCAACTTTTTCAAAACCTAATTTTTCAGTAAGAACTCTTTTGAAAATTTCGGAATTTTTCGACCAGCGTCGATATGTGACTAAAGACATTTCCTTGTATGTTTCAACCTCCAAAAGTTACTTTCCGTCCCATTTCTCTAATAACCCTTACCATTTTTCCAAAATCTTCCCTCGAAATATCTATGACAGTTTTTTGGATTTTTTTCTTAATTTTATTTTAAACCGAATATTTTTAAAATCTTGGGACGGAACGATTAAATCGCTATATTTTGGGAATCAGAACGTCTAAATCTACATCGCAGAATTTTTCTAAGTATTTTTAGACAACTTTTTCAAAACCCCAACGAGCTTTTTGGAAAATTTTGAAATTTTTCGGATACTTTCGTTACTTAACTAAAGACATTTGCTTGTGTACTTTATACTTTTGACCCCCAGAAGTTACCTTCGGCTGCATTTCTTTGATAATTCCTATAATTTTTCCGAAATCCACGGCTGGAATATTGTAAAATTTTGGATTTTGAAAAGAATTGGTTTTCAAAGCAAATATTTCTAAATTCTTGGCCCAGGACGCTACAAACGTTATATTTCTAGAATCAGCATGTCGAAATCTACATTCTAGAATTTTTTGTTGATTTTTAGCCAACTTTTTCAAAACCTAGTTTCCAGTAAGAACTCTTTTGAAAATTTCGGAATTTTTCGACCAATTTCGATATGTGACTAAAGACATTTTCTTGTATGTTTCAACCTCCAAAAGTTACTTTCCGTCCCATTTCTCTAACAACCCTTACCATTTTTCCAAAATCTTCCCTCGAAATATCTATGATAGTTTTTTTGTTTTTTTTTTTAATTTCATTTTAAACCGAATATTTCTAAAATCTTGGGACGGAACGATTAAATCGCTATATTTTGGGAATCAGAACGTTTAAAACTACATCGCAGAAATTTTCCAAGGATTTTTAGACAACTTTTTCAAAACCCCAACGACCTTTTTGGAAAATTTTGAAATTTTTCGGATACTTTCGTTCCTTAACTAAAGACATTTGCTTGTGTACTTTATACTTTTGACACCCAGAAGTTACTTTCGGCTGCATTTCTTTGATAATTACTATAATTTTTCCGAAATCCACGGCTGGAATATTGTAAAATTTTGCATTTCGAAAAAAATTGGTTTTGAAATCAAATAGTTTTAAACTCTTGCCCCAGAACACTACAAACGCTATATTTTTAGAATCAGCAGGTCGAAATCTACATTCTAGAATTTTTTGTTGATTTTTAGCCAACTTTTTCAAAACCTAGTTTTTCGGTAGGAACTCTTTTGAAAATTTCGGAATTTTTCGACCAGTTTCGATATGTATTGTGATTAAAGACATTTTCTTGTATGTTTCAACCTCCAAAAGTTACTTTCCGTCCCATTTCTCTAATAACCCTTACCATTTTTCCAAAATCTCCCCTCGAAATATCTATGATAGTTTTTTGATTTTTTTTTAATTTCATTTTAAAACGAATATTTCTAAAATCTTGGGACGGAACGATTAAATCGCTATATTTTGGGATTCAGAACGTTTAAATCTACATCGCAGAATTTTTCGAAGTATATTTAGTCAACTTTTTCAAAACCCCAACGACCTTTTTTGAAAATTTTGAAATTTTTCGGATACTTTCGAAACTTAACTAAAGACATATTCTTGTGTACTTTATACTTTTGACCTCCAGAATTTACTTTTGGCTGCATTTCTTTGATAATTCCTATAATTTTTCCAAAATCCACGGCTGGAATGTTGTAAAATTTTGGATTTTGAAAAGAATTGGTTTTCAAAGCAAATAGTTCTAAATTGTTGTCCCAGGACCCTACAAACGCTATATTTCTAGAATCAGCAGGTCAAAATCTAAATCCTAGAATTTTCAAAATTAAATTTTATCATTTCCTTAAGTTTTTGCCTAAATAATCTTCGACAATATTTTACTGCTTTTATATTAACTATATAATGTTAACATAGATTTATATATCATCTCCTTCAAAAAATTGGTGACGTCTGCTCAAATTTATTGTGAAATAAAAAGACACAATATGTGAGATCAGTCAAGTATACCAAAGACAATTTATTACAACTAGAGGTAAAATAATTAGAGAATAACAATAAGAAATGATGCGCAGATCAGCTGATTACAGACGCGTGCGTCTTTCGGGTTTCGTTAACAGTTTATTTTGTTGTTATTAGTTTATTTTGACTGTAGTTTCTGTTTAAATTGTTTTTATGTTTAAACTGGTTTATGTTTTCAGCCTGAATTAGGCGTTGTTTACTTTTTGTTCAAAATCAACCAATAAAAAATCGAAACCATTTTTATAATTATTTTTGCCAAAATAATCCATTTAAAAGTAATGGAGTAAATTAGTGTATGTTGTTCTCAAATTATTTCACCTCTATCTAGAATTTGGTGCGAACTTTGTAGAAATTAAGGTCCATAGTATGTAATTTAATTTTAATAATAATAAAAATGTCGACACAGGATTATATCACAGATGATTTCAAATGTTACAACATAAAGCTAAAATGAACACACCAATTTTGGTTAGCGTTTACCACTTATTCGATAATCTTAAAGTCCAGTTCGACATGTAACAGACAACCGGAAACGGAGACCGACATTTTCATGAAACTGAAATTAAACACTCGTCAAAATGACCCTATTTTATCACGCTTTTATTAGCTTGGGTTGTATCTATGTATGTATGTAACGGAATCTTTGAGCTTAATTTTCATCGGTTTCTAAAAGTCTGATCATCTTGAAACTTTGCACACGTCTCAAGGATCGATGACAATGCAATAATTTGATAACAGTTTCCCATTATCCGTATTAGGACCGCCAGGATCCTCGATCCTACGGAGAACACTGAGTGGTTCTTTCTAGAAAAATCTAAATAAGTAATTAATTCCCCAATTTATGAATTTGTCGCAGACTAAAAAATGAAAAATAAATAATAGTTTAAAAAACTAAAAAAACACGCTTTTATTGCTAATCGAACTAAAAACTAGAAAATAATTTTTAATGACAGAGTTTAATATTACAGTAGTAGAAGATCAAACAATCAATCATAATAAATCACCTCAAATTAAAATTATAATAAAATTTAAGTTATTAACAGAATAATTCAATTCAGAGTAAAAAGCGTGGGGTGCATTTTACTGCGGTTCATAACTATCCTCTCATAGATAGTTGCCAATAGAATGATTGTAATATTTAAAATATCAAGCACCCCACGCTTTTTACTCTGAATTGAATTATTCTGTTAATAACTTAAATTTTATTATAATTTTAATTTGAGGTGATTTATTATGATTGATTGTTTGATCTTCTACTACTGTAATATTAAACTCTGTCATTAAAAATTATTTTCTAGTTTTTAGTTCGATTAGCAATAAAAGCGTGTTTTTTTAGTTTTTTAAACTATTATTTATTACGCTCGAAAAGTACACACCCCTGCATGCAGCGGATAATAGTCAAGTATCAGAGGGACATTTTCCCAAGATTTACCCGATTATTTCTCTATACAAGCGTCAAATTTTCGTTAGGTAGTCAACCAACTAGTACAAAAACAAAAACTGACCGAAACTGTTTTCTCCTGCTTCTTAATAACAGTCATCAGGCTCGGACGTACGGTTCTATCCATCGTGGCACTAATTACAGACTTGTCCTCTTCGTACCACGTCGTTTTTCCCTCCTCAACAATGAGCAATTGTCGACAATTTGTCGGCATATGTCATTCCTGGAAGAGTTGCGTATGCTGGCGGCACTTGACGGAAAAAAATGAGATTTTCTCTTTGTGTTTTAGTTTGAAGCCGACGCCCAAAGACGGGGTGACCAAGAGTAATCCGAGCAAACGGCATCGGGAGAGGCTCAACGCCGAATTGGACACTCTCGCCAGTCTTCTGCCCTTCGAGCAAAACATCCTCTCCAAGCTGGACAGGCTTTCGATTTTGAGGCTTTCTGTGAGCTACCTACGCACCAAGAGCTACTTTCAAGGTATTTTTTTTTAGCTGGGTTGCGGATGTGGGCATGAACGTGGGGTCGGTTTGTATTATGGGCGAACATTTGTCTTTTGGAGTAATGAACGAGCATTTGTTACACTTCAACTACTAATGTTCTCGAATTTACATTCAATTTAATTCCATTTCAATCAGTGTAACTTATTAGGTCATTTGTGGATAAATAGTTTCAACGAGTACTCAAGAAATTAAATAGGAAATTGATTCCTAGCACCAAATATCCATTACAGTTAAATTTTGAATCAAATTATGCCACATTAATTTAGCAGGAAATCATAAATAAATTTTACGTCTTACTGGTTTATTGTTGGCCTATAATGGTCTAAATTTGAGGTAAGTTAATCACTAAATAATACCCTAGGGCATTAGGAGTGGTTGCCATAGTAACGTCAACAGATAACGCGATCGGCCAACTATTATTTACTGTTTCGCTGGTTGCACAGATACCGCGACAGCGCTTTAAAACATAACTTATTTTTTTAAATATTACTTATTTCAACAATTTGCAATGAATGCAACCAATAAAAGAATTTTGTAAACTGTTGTTCTCGAAAGGGCATAAACTACGTCATAATACCCTTGATACATAAATAACTATTATTGTTCCCTAATAAACACCATATTTGAAGAATCGAAAATTTGAAAAATCGTGAAATTGAAATAGGCCAAGATCGAAATCGAAAGTTAATAATTGAAACATTTTAATTTAAAAAAATCTAAAATTTCAAAATTGAATATTTGAAAAATTGAGCAACTAAATAAAACAAATAAATTGAAAATTAAGATATCGATAAATTAAAAATCGAGAGATCGGAACATCAAAAAATCGGAAAATTCGACTTTGTTTTTTTGGTTTTTTGATTTCTCAGTTATCCTGTTTATTAATTTCTCAAATTTTGAATATTTCTTTCAGTTTTGGGATTTTTCAATATTTCAATCTTCGACTTTTCGATTTTTGGACATTTTTGTTTTTTAAACTTTCAATTTTTCAATTTTTCAACTTTTCGATGTTTTAATTTTTCAGTTTTTAAAATTCTGGAATCTTTCGGTTTTTCGGTTTTGGCCTATTTATATTTCGAAACATCGAAAAATTGGAAAATCGGAAAATAAAAAATAAATTGAAAAATCGAAAATTTAAAAATCCCAAAAATTGAGAAATTGAAATATAGAAGAACTCTCGATGTCTCAGTTTTTGAGTTTTTCCATGTTTCCATTTTTGGATTTCTCGGTTTTTCCATTTATTTCTTTTGGGCTTTCCAATTTTTCGATTTTCCAATTATTCGATGTTTCGATTTTTCAGATGTCCGATTAGTTTTAGATTTTCGAATTTTTATTTTTTGGTTTTTTGGTGTTTGGATTTCTCGATTTTTCAATTTTGCAATATTTTGATTGTTCAATGTTTTAAATTTTAGACTTTTCGATTTCTCCATTTTTTGATTTTTTAATTCTTCAGTATTTCTATTTTTCAAATTTTGAGTTTTCTCATTTCTCAATTAATCTTTTTTTGATTTTCCCATTTCTCGACTTCTCAAACTTTGGATTTCTCAATTTCGACTTTGCTGTTTTCGTTTGTCGATTCCTCAAATATCCAGTTCTTTAATTTCTCAATTTTTGGATATTTCTTTCAGTTTTGGGATTTTTCAATATTTCAATTCTTCGAATTTTCGATTTTTCGATTTTTTTTGTATTTTCAGTTTTTCGTTTTTTGAACTTTCGATTTTTCAATTTTTTGACTTTTTCGTATTTCGACTTCCCAATTTTTCAGCTTTACGATGTTTTTTTAATTTTTCAGTTTTTAAAATTCTAGATCTTTCGGTTTTTCGCTTTTGGCCTATTTCGAAACATCGAAAAATTGGAAAATCGGAAAATTAAAAAATAAATTGGAAAAACGACAATTTAAAAATTCCGAAAATTGAGAAATTGAAATATAAAAGAACTCTCGATGTCTCAGTTTTTGAGTTTTTCCATGTTTCCATTTTTGGATTTTTCGGTTTTTCCATTTGGGCTTTCCAATGTTTCGATTTTCCAATTATTCGATGTTTCGATTTTTCCGACATCAAAAAATCGGAAAATTCAAGAATTCAAAAATCTAAAATGTAAAAGTCGAAAAATCGAAAACCGGAAAAATACAAAATATACAATTTAAAAAATGGAAAAATTGAAAAAAAGGAAAATTGAAGAATCGAAAATCGGAAAAATCGAGAAAGCTGAAATAACGAAAAACTGGAATATGGAAAAATTGAGAAATTGAAATAGTCCAAAGTCGAAAAATTGGAAAGTTAAGAATTGAAAATTTTCAAACTAAAAAGAATTCGAAAATATGAAAAATCAAAAAATCGAAAAATTGAAAAATTAAAAAAGTAAAAACTCGAGAAATCGAAGTCGAAAAATTAAAGGATCGAAATATTGAAAAATCCCAGAACTGACATCGAAAAATACAAATATGGAAGAAAAATTGAAAAATTGAAAATTTGAAAAATCCCAAAACTGGAACAGCGAAAATTTTAAAAATCGATAAACCGCGATGTCAATAAATCGGAATATTAAAAAAATTGTAAAATCGAAAAACGTAAAATTACAAAACCAAAAATTTAAAATATCCAAAAATTGCAAAATAGAGATATCGAAGGATTGTTGAAAGCTCGAAAAATCGAGAAATCGAAAATCCAAAATTTAAAAATCGAAAAATTAAGAAATCGAAATGGGTCAAAATCAAAATTGAAAGTTAAGAATTGAAAATTTTCAATTTAAAAAAAATCGAAAAATCTACAACCGAGAGGTCGAAAGATGGAGAACTTAATAATTGAAAAATCGAAACAAAAAAATCGAAAAATTAGTAAATCTAAAATTTGAAAAATTAAACAATTAAATTGAAAAAAAAAATTGGAAACCCGAAAAATCCAAAATCTAAAATTTAAGAAATCGAAAAATTGAAAAAAAGGAAAATTGAAGAATCGAAAATAGGAAAAATCGTGAAACTGAAACATTCCAAAAGTGAAATGACGAAAAATTGGGGAAGTGAAAAATTGAAAAATCGAAATACGCCAAGATGAAATCGAAAATTAAGAATTGAAAAATTTGAAATTAAAAAAAAATCGAAAAATCTAAAACCGAGAAGTTATCTTTCGACTTCTCGGTTTTAGAAATTGAAATAGTCAAAAGTCGAAAAATTGGAAAGTTAAGAACTGAAAAATTTCAAACCAAAAAAAATCGAAAATCTGGGAAATTAAAATATCGAAAAATCGAAGAAGTAAAGAATCGAGAAATCGAAGTCGAAAAATTAAAGTTCGAAATATTGAAAAATCCCAGAACTGACATCGAAAAATACAAAAATGGAAGAAAAATTGAAGAATTGAAAAATTGAAAAATCCCAAAACTGGCACAGCGAAAATTGTAAAATCGAAAAACGTAAAATTCAAAAACCAAAAATTTAAAAATTCGAAAAATTGAAAAATAGAAATATCGAAGAATTGAAAGCTCGAAAAATCTAGAAATCGAGAAATCTGTAATGAAAAAAATTGGAAAATACCGAAAAATTGAAAATAGAGAAATGGGAAGATAAAGAATCGAAAACTTCATAAATTTTAAATTTAAAAGTCGAAAAATCGAAAACCAAAGGAATCCAAAATATAAATTTTAAAAAAAGGAAAATAATTGAAGAATCGAAAATCGGAAAAATCGAGAAACTGAAACATTCCAAAGCTGAAATCACGAAAAATTGGAATATCGAAAAATTGAGAAATTGAATTACTTTGTCCAAAATCGAAAAATTGGAATGTTAAGAACTGAAAAATTTCGAATTAAAAAAAATCGAAAATTTGAAAAATCCAAAAATCTACAACCAAGAAGTCGAAAAATTGAAAGATCTACAAAACGAAATATCCATAAACTAAACAATCCAACATTTAAAAATTCGAAAAATTGAAACATAAAAAATCGAAAAATTGATACCTACTAAACTAAAATTTAAAAATCAAAAAATTGAAAAATCGAACAAGTAAAAAATCGAGAAATCGAAAAGTCAAAAAATTAAAGGATTAAAATACTGGAAAAATCCCAAAACTGACATATCGAAAAACTAAAAATTTGAAGAATTGAATAATTGAAAAATTCCAAAAATCGAAATATCGATAAATTGCAAAATCGAAAAACCAAAAATTTAATAAGTCGAAAAATTGAAAAATAGAAATATCCAAGAACTAAAAAGTCGAAAACTCTAGAAATCGACTTTTACAGTTATAAATCGAAAAAACGAAAAACCCAGAAATCGAAAATCCAAAATTTAAAAAATCGAAAAATTGAAAAATCAAAAAATTAAGACATCGAAATAGGCCAAAATTGAAATCGAACATTGAGAATTGAAAAATTTGAATCTAAAAAAATTGAAAAATCTAAAACCGAGAAGTCTAAAGATGGAGAAATCGAAAACTTAATAATTCAAAAATTTGAAAAATCAAAAAACTGGAAAATCAAAATAGACCGAGATCGAAATCGAAAGTTAAGAATTGAAAATTTTGAATTCAAATAAATCAAAAAATCTAAAACCGAAAAGTCGAAAGATGGAGAAATCGAAACATCAAAAAAATGGAAAAATTAACTAAATAAAACAAATAAATTGAAAAATTAAGATACCGAAACATTGAAAATCGAGAAATCGGATCATCAAAAAATCAAAACATTTATGCATTCAAAAAAATAAAATCTAAAAGTCGAAAAATCGAAAACCAGAGAAATCCAAAATCTGAAATTTAAAAAATCGAAAACTTGAAAAAAAGGAAAATTTAGGAATCGAAAATCGGAAAAATTGAGCAATTGAAACATTCCAAAGCTGAAATGACGAAAAATTGGAAAATCGTAAAATTGAGAAATCGAAATAATCCAAAATCGAAAAATTGAAAAGTTAAAAATGGAAAAATTTCAAATTAAAAAAAAAACGATGATCTGAAAAATCAAAAAATGTACGACAAGGAAGTCGAA